GAGAGAGAGAGACAGAGAGACAGAGAGAAAGAGAGAGAGAGACAGAGAGAGAGAGAGAGAGAGAGACACAGAGAGAGACAAAGAGAGAGAGAGAAAGAGACAGACAGAGATAAACAGAAGGGGAGAAAGAATGTGCCAAGGGTGTGTACTTTACATAATAATATTATTTTTTTGTGACCGCTTCTCATCGCAAGGTGTGCACAGTAGCTGCAATAATTGTGACATCGGTGGCCTAGTGGTTAGGCTACCGGACTCGTAATCGTGAGGTTGCGGGTTCGGGGGTTCGAGCCGCGGGCCCGACGTTGTGTCTTTGAGAAAGACACTTTAAACGAATTTTCTTCACTTCACCCAGGTGGGAATGGGTACCCGGCCATAGACAGCGAAAGATCTTGTCAGTATGTTAGTGTTTTAGCGCCTATAAATGGCCGCTACACTGTATGCTTCCCAGGAAGTTGAGGTTGTTTCAGAATGCTCTCATGTCAGCTGGGGGTAATAGTAGCCTATAGATTGTGAAGCGCATAGAGCTTGCTGTTGAGCGGGGATTTGCGCTATACAAATGCTGTCTATTATTAATTATAGGACGCGGGCAAGGTCGTTTTTGTTGTTGTAGTCAAATAGAAACAATGAGCTATATGTGAGGCAGCGTGGTGGAATCAGGCTCTTGTCAAAATAATCAAAGTGAAGAAACTTGCATTTTTCCACAGGTTTGTGAATTTTTATAAAAGTTTGGTTTTTTGGCTCAACACCTTTCATGTCCCTTAAAGAACTCATTTATGTGTGGATTTTTCTGAAAAACGCCGATTAAAGGCACAAAAAATGTAAATTTTCAGTTACCATGGACTCTTGAAATAAGGAAATAACTAATCTTTGGCGGGGATTTTCTCACAAATTTTTCCTCTGAAAACAGGTGGCCCCCACCTCCTTCTTTCGCAAATATCTCGACTTGTATTCTAGATAAATTGACTTTTTTCCTATCCAAATAAAGACAAATGAACAAGCTTTAAGATGATACCAATAACTCTACATGCCCAAAAGTTGACGAGAGCCTGATTCCACCACGCTGCCTCACAAATCGACATTAACTTATCGAAGTGGCTAGCCCTACTCAGGTTAGGCCCTATAATAGACACGTAAGGTCTCATTAGTAATTATTCAGTTTTTTTAATTAAAATACATGCACTGTCAGCGAGGCACCTTTTGGTTTCGTCTCAAATACAAATATGTCAGGTACTGCAAACTAAAAAAATTACGTACAATTCTGTAGGCTTATTTCCTTTGCTGTTTGTCAGTCTAGCCATCATTATTAAGTACGGAGAACCTAGCCGTCTAGCTGTCATTAAGTACGGCTAGCCTCTTTCAAATATTACTTAAATTAATACAGCTGTTGTAGTCAGTTTGTTGGTACTTTAATCAGCTGCTGGCACCGTATGCTTCCCGGGAGGCCGAGAATGTCTCCCGAGTGTTCTGGGGTCTATGCTGGGATAATAATCATAAATTGTAAAGCGCATAATTACATAAGAGCTTGCTTTCGAGCGGGGATAGCGCTATACTATAAAATGTGAGGCAGCGTGGTGGAATCAGGCTCTCGTCAATTTTTGGGCATGCAGAATTATTGGCATCATCTTAAAGCTTGTTCACTTGTCTTTATTTTGATGAGAAAAATATCC